AAGAGGGAGTTATTGTTTAACATGTATAAAGTTTCAGTTTTGCAAGAGTCCTGTCCTGGAGACCAGACGTACAGCAATACGAATGTTTTTAATACCACTAAACTGTACATTAAAAATGCTTAAGATGGTAAATTTTATGTGATGTAGACTTTATCACAATTAAAAAATAAAAAAATTAAAATCCATATGTGCATAGAGATATACTTAGAAGAACACATGTATAGACACATACAGAGAGTTGTTATTTCTGTAAGTTAGAGTTACTGGGAAATTTTTACTTTCCTTCCCATTTCTTGATTGAACTGTTTTTACATTGAATATGTTATCAGTTTTATAACTTTTAAGAAGAATAAAACTTCTGAAGATTTTCAGTGTTTTAGAAAACACGAGGATGGTAGAGCCTAATATCTAGAAAAATAAATTTTTAGAAAACAACAGAAATTGTCAGTGCAGGCTGAGAACTTTGTTAAAAGTAATAAAAACCCTTTGTCCCCAATGGTGAATGCAAGCAAGCCATGGCCCTCCTCTGCATTGTGGTTGCCTTGGAGAGCTCGTCCTTCTGACCCCTTGGCCTGGCCTGACCAGCCTACCCTGGCTCACAGCTGATTTCCCTTGTGGGAACTCTTGCCTGCCCCTCCCAGGGAACTGTGCTTTGCTTGGTGCCTGGCCAGCAGGAGGGTGAAGTTTGCCTGCTGTTGTTGACCCAGGGCTCATCTTCCCGCTTGTCTTCCACACCGATTCCAGCACTTCACATTCCCTGACTGAACCCCAGGGGTGCAGTGTGTGCCTCCCATCCGCACAGCTTCCTCTATGTCAGAGCCAGGTTTTGATCATGCTTCAAGGATCCAGTTTCTGTTGAAGTTTCTTAATCCTTCGGATCCAAGGTTTATTACCCACACAGTATCCTCACGCTCAGGTTTCAACTCCACCTTGGTGAATTGCTGTGGTTTGACCTTCAGTCACTATCAGTCTTCAGCTCCTGTATCCTGTGTGATGGAGAAACTGACATCCTACCTGTTAATACGTTCATGTAAACAAACAAGCCCTTACAGCATGATTAAAATTTACCTTTCTAAAATTTGTCATGGAATGGTACTCACATTTATATCCACGAGATTATGAAAAATGAATTATAGGTTCTATTTTGCTTCCCATTAAATTATTATTTTCTGTTTTACTCAAGGCACAGTCAACATAACCTCAGTATCAGATAATTCCCACATTCTAAAAAGTATTTTCAGAGTACAGAGAACATCATAAAAGACACTGTTCAGGCCACCCAGAGTTAACAAATGTTAACATTTTGTAATGATTGTTTCAGGTCTAGAATTCTCCTTTTAAAATTAAAATGTACTCCTGTACATTGGCAGAGCTGGCCTCGGGGCACCACGGAAACGGTCAGAGTTCTTTTCCTTTCCTTTCCTGCTGTGCCTTCCCCTGCTGCTGCAGGTGCCTGGCCAGGCAGCTGTGGCCCCTGGTCCCAGAGGGCAGTGGTGTGCCCTTCCCAGAACTGCTGGCTTGGAATGGAGCCCTGGATTCCTCAGCTGTGTCAGAAAGAAGTTCTGGTCATGAGTAGCACACAGCTTTGTGAGCCCAGAAGGGGAAGGCTTGTTAGAATAAAGGAAGCTCATAACTGTGGGAGGTGGGGGGCTCAAAGCAGTGCCTCAAAAAGAAAGGGACCAGCAAGGGAACATCTGCTGGACTCTCAGTTCACTTGAGCTTCCCTCTGCTTCATTCTTTACTCTTTCTCTGTTCACAGGGTAGAAAATAGCTCCCCTCGGCTTCTGAATTTACTAAGACGTGTCCAGCCACATAAAGGGGCTGACCAGTAGACCTTGCTTGCAATTCCTCATGTCTAAGGGAGAGAAACTTGTTGTCTCCCCTCTGGTCCAATAAACCCTGGTGAGGGTGGCGAGGTCATGTGTGACACTCCTATAATCCTGTGAACTTGAGAGGTGAGGCATTAGTGTCAAGAAGGAAGCCCCCGCTTACCTTGTACACAACTGCAGATACTCCAGGGCAGCAGTTTGAGGAGCTCACAACTGGAGTCTCAGCAAAAGCTGGCAATGACATCCCGGCCATTGATGGTGAGAAGGACAATGAAGATGACTTGTTCTGTGGTGGTCCGCGCATGTTAACAGTGTCACAAAACAGGATTTGTGTATGGACAATAATTCCTGTATACATACAAATGAACTATGTTCAAAAGTTGGGTTAATGTTTGTGTATTCCACCAGTGAGTATTTGGGCCCTCCTGTCCCAAGGACTTAACCGGTTGTGAGAAAGCAGGGACAGTCCAGCCCCAGACTCCTTCAACGGGCTAGCATCTTTACATGCATATTGTGAGAAGTTAGCCCCATTTTTGAGTAGCATCGCATAAAATGCACACTTACTTTTCTTAATATATTTACTCCTACTTCTAAAGTTTATGTGTCTGGGTTATTATTTTTTTTACCCCTGTAAGCTACTTCAAATATTTTTTGAAATAAGCAGAATATATCTAAATATATAAAATCAAATCATGTTTCGATTTCCAAACTAGCTCATAGAAACTTAAAGCATTATATTACTACTATTAATACAGTAATGGACATCATAACATTTTCGCCAATACTGGACAAATATATATGACAGTGACCCCATAAGATTATAATGGAGCTGAAACATTTTTATTACCTAGTGATGTTATAGCCCTCATAACATCAGTGCTCAACACATGATGTGTTTGTGGTATAAACAGACCAACTATACTACCAGACATATCAAAGTCTAGCTGCTAGACTAACTAGACAATATGTCTGGTACATTAATACTTGATATGTCTGGTACATTAACACTTGATATGGATGATAAATGACTAAATTACTAGATTATATATATATATATTTTTTTTTTTTAAAAGAGAATCTCACTTTGTCTCCCTCAGTATAGTGCTGTGGCATCACAGCTCACAGCAACCTCTGACTCCTGGGCTTAGGCTATTCTCCTGCCTCAGCCTCCCAAGTAGCTTGGACTATAGGTGCCAGCCACAGCACCCGGCTTTTTGTTGTTGCAGTTTGGCCAGGGCTGGGTTTGAACCCACCACCCTCGGTATATGGGGCTGGTGCCCTACTCACTGAGCCACAGGCACCTCTCAGGATTATACATTTACTATGCCACAGTTTTTATTGTTATTTTAGAGTGTCATCCTTATAATTATAAAAAAAAAAGCAAGTTAACTGTATATAAAACAGCCTCAGCAAGGTCCTTCAGGAGTATTCCAGAAAGCCTTGTTGTTGCCCCTAAACTCTTTGCAGTGGGACATAGGGGTGGACGACAGTGTTTTTAACAATATGTTTAAAAAGTAAAAAATATATTTTAATAGAAAAATCGTATAGGGTAAGTATATAAAGAAAATATTTTTGTGTAGCTGTACAAATGTGCTTGTATTTTAAGCTAAGCATTAGTATAAAAGTGTCAGAAAGTTAAAAAAAATAAAGATTATAAAGTAGAAATGTTACAGAAATCTAAGGTTAATTTATACTGAGGAAAGCTTTTTAAAAATTAATGTAATGTAGCCCAGGTGTGCAGTGTTTATGAAGTCCGCAGTAGTGGGCAGTGAGGTCTGAGGCCTTCAAGTTCACGCCACACTCACTCACTGACTCTCCCAGAGCCACTTCCAGGCCTGCAAGCTCCTCTCGCTTACTTGTAAGTGCCTTTTAAGTAAAGCTCCTATAAGTGCTCTATGCAAGTGTGTCATTTTTTAATATTTCATTCCATGTTTTATTTTCTATGTTTAGATATGTCTGCACACACAAGTGCTTATGCAGCGTTACACTGTGTTACAATTGCATGCAGTGCAGGCTTGTACTCAGGAGCGCTAGGCTATACCTGTGGGCCAGGTGTGTAGTAGGCGGTACCATCTAGGTTTGTGGAAGTGCACTCTAGGACATTCACAGAAGGACAAACGCATTTCTCAGAATGTATCTATACCATTAAATGGCATGATTATATTTTGACCATTACTATCGGAACATTTATAAAGTGAGAATAAGGGGACGTGTGAAAGGCTTGCTCCAGTGAAGGCATCTGTCATTACTAAGCAGCGTAGTGGATGAATGATTGAGAGGAAAAGGTTACTGTTGACTTGGTTAGAAGATCAATAAGGATAACATCCCTATTAGACTGGCAGTGATGCAACACTCACAAAGGTGAGTGTCAACCTTTAGTGTTTGTTTCTGAAATTTCTCCTATTTAATGACAACATGAGTTTGTTTTTATTTTGTTCGTTTGAATTAAAAGAAAAAGCACAACAGTCTCTGTGACTTCTTACAGTACAAGAGTTTATTCTTGTTACAATATTACACTGTATTATTATTACTACACAAGTCATTATAGTACTGTTATCATCATGATTACTGTATGCCCACTGTTCATGAGGAATTTCATTAGGGCCCCGAGTTACATACCAATCCTACCTAAATTCCTTCTCAGACACCCATCTCATCCATAACCTGGGCTGCTGTAGTTATGTATTTAGTGTGTTTCTAAATGTAAATGATTGCCTTGCAAGCAAAATTATTTTTTGCCATTTTTTTCTAATTTAAAAGTAATTTATATCATCGACCTTTAGCCTTTTTACTGGTAAAAAAACATGACAACTATAAATAACATAAAGTTTGGGGTTAGATGAGGAAGCTCATGCTTGTAATCCCAGCACTCTGGGAGGCCGAGGTGGGAGGATCCCTGACGTCAGGAGTTCAAAACCAATCTAAGCAAGAGTGAAACTCTTTCTCTATTAAAAACAGAAAAATTGTCCAGGCATTGTGGCAGGCGCCTATACTCCCAGCTACTGAGGAGGCTGAGGCTGGAGGATTGCTTGAACCCAGGACTTTAAGGTTGCTGTGAGCTAGGCTGACGCTACAGCACTCTGCCTAGGGCAGCAGAGTAAGACTTTGCCTCAATAAAATAAATAAGTTAACATAAAGTCCTAAACTAGTTTCTTTTAACCTGTCTTTCAGATTATTTGAATATATTTTGCTCTATAAGGATGGAGTGATGTTTCAGATTGAACAAGCCACCAAACTGTGTTCAAAGATCACCCTGACGGAACCCTGGGATCCTCTCGATATTCCTCTGAACTCCACCTTTGAAGACCAGTACTCCATCGGGGGGCCCCAGGAGCAGATCACTGTCCAAGAGTGGTCCGACAGAAAGTCAGCTAGATCCTGTAAGGATGAAAAGAAGGATTTGAACATTGTGCCTGGGAAAAAAGTCCATCTATAATAGACTTAGTTGTTAGTTGTTCGGGGAAATTATAAGTTGTTCAAAGCCCCCATTAGGTGGGTATGTTGCCTTGCTAATTATGTGACAATGGGATCTAAGTATTTGAAACACCCTCCCCCATTTTCTAATGCCATCTGGACATTTCTGCTAGTCTGGCTGTTGTAGACTTAGCCTTGTTTTTACTTTGTGATCACCCTAAGGTCGGTGCCTTTTTCTTTTTCTTAAATTTATTTTTATTTCAAATTAACATGAGGGCACAAATGATTATACCATGGAATACTATTCAGCCTTTTGTAAGGTAAACATGAATCAGTGTCTCCTTTTTGTTTCATCTCAATCACTTCCTAAAGTTGTAGAGATCAAATCTCCCATTACTCTGAGTGTCCCACCATCCTCCTTTCCCATGAAGCTGTTCTCAGCTGGGCTGCCAATATGCCCATCCCAGGACTGTGTGACATGCACAGGCATCATGCTGTGCTGCACAGTGTGGTGGTTCCTCAAAAACTTAAAACATAGGATTGCCACGTGGCCCAGCAACCCCACTTCCCCCCATCCCAATAATATACTTTAAAGAATTCAGTGAAGAGACTAAAACAAATATTTTTATGTGTTCACCGAAGCATTATTCACAATAGCCAAAAAGTGGAAATACCCCAAGTGTCTCTCAGCAGACAAACAGATAAATAAAATGCATTATCTATCCAGTGGGTGCCAAAAAATGTATACATATTCTCAGAAAGGAAAAAACGGTATCAAAGTTGTAATACTCAAGTCACATTTGACCACTGCAATTTCAAGAGATACTCAAATAATGACATATATTCATCTTTTGTTATCAGTATATTTCGAGTATTGCAATTTTAATACAATTTTTTCCTTTCTTAATTTGTTTTCTTTTTTTTTTTTTTTTTTGAGACAGAGCCTCAAGCTGTCCCCCTGGGTAGAGTGCTGTGGCTTCACAGCTCA